TGACCCACCATCACCCACCACCACCACCACCACCACCCACCATCACCACCCATTTTAATTAAACAAATTTTAACAATTTTGAAAAAAATAAATTTTCAAAAAAATGATGTTTTAATCGGCCATTTTGAATCGGCCATTTTTAAATAAAATCACGATTTCATAAAAAATAGCCACATAATTCATCTTTAAGATGAGCCCAGAAAGAAGTCTATATTTTTATTTTTCTGGAAGATATGAATTTTTAAACATTGGGGAAAAGAGGCTTCAACGCAGGTAACACGGCAATTTTAAGATAGGATCAATTTGAAAAGTAGAGATTTCAAGCTGTAAAGTGTTTTTTTGAAAATCTCGATACGAATATTTTATTTTTAACGAAGTTGCTCTATCTTGAAATTTGCCTATTTTTAGAGGATAAAACAGGTGATCCTTAAATTTTTTGGAGTGTATAATATAAAAAATAGGAAAAATATTTTTAATAGTGTAAACATAGAAGAAAAATCTTATTTTCAGTTTAAATTTAAGCAAATAAATTTAAGCAAATAAATTATGTTTAATCAAGATTTATCTGTAAACTTAATTGTCAAACATTTTTAATTATAACTATTATTAATTATTATTATGTGAAGAATTTTGTTGTAATTTTACTACTACTATTCAAGTATTTTTTGTTTTTTTTATATTACTATTGTAACATTGATTAAATTAAACATTGCTTAAAGTGCCATTTAAATTGAATAATTTACGAATAGTTATCAAAGATTTGCAATATGGAATAAGAACAAATTACAGGAAGATGCAGCGTTTATAATGGCAAACAATGAAGAAGGCCAAAAATCGTCTAAGATAAAAAATAATATATTTGAAAATGAAGAAATGTCAAGGCATTTACGTAGATTACTTCATAGTAAGGACCCTTCTGATTTACAGACTGCAAACCGATTGATAAAGTTTATGGTGAAAGAGGTATCTATATTTTAGAGAGATATTTGGAATAAGATCTTTAGAAAAACTGAAATTTAAATACTTCATATCTCTTACTCTAACATTTAAGAAATTTTTACATTTAATGTTTAAAAAAATTTTTTTATTAAGATATCTGTTTTTGTAGGATGAGGAACGATTGCAGTTAAATTCGCGAAGAGGCATGGAATTAGAATCCGTGCAAAACAATGTAATGCTATTGTCAGAAATGCTAGATTCATATAATCAGAATGAAACTAGTGCAGAGGATCTTGAATTGATGAAAGAGTTGTATCAGGCATGTGAGCGACTGAAACCTATTTTGTTAAGACTCGCCAGTGAAACCCAGGGCAACGTCGAAATGCTTGGTATTTTGTCATATCATAACGATTCACTCATTAAATTTTCTAAACTTGTCTAGAAAATTCTGCTTTTCTACATATAATTATAATTAATTAGTTCCAAAAATTTTAGCGATACAAATGATTCCAAACTGAAAATCTGTATATTTTATGTAACATAACGAGTAAAAAGTGCAAAGTATTTCGGTTTAGAAATTGGATTATTTTATAAAATGACATAAAACTGGATTATGTATCAATACCTATTGAGTCATCTACATCGTTTTTTTTCTTCATTATGCTAGTTTATAACCAACAAATCTTTGATCTTTTTAATTAGTTTTTTGTGCATTTTATGATCAGATGATGTACTAGCTGCGAGCGATGAGTTGAATCAAGTCTTCGAGAAATACACATCTATTATCGTTCTTGGGCAAATTCCTAAATCTTCTGCAACAGAAGCTTCTAAACCAATTTACAATGAGCCATCCCTTTTGGATTTATCGTCTCCCACTGAGATTACTTCCTGTAAGAGCAGTTTAAGCACGATGCAGAGCACATCATCAACAGATCATCGTTCAGATATGGATGTACTAGGAGATATCTTTAGTGTATTGGAGAAACCTGCAGTCAAGTCTGAAGCAAATTTTTTGATGCCAAACGCTATAATGCAACCAATCAGTATCTCGCCTATAAATAAGAAAAGTGAGCATAAATCATGACTGAAGAAAGGAGGAATCTGCATAAGGTCGATTTTCAGCTCTATTTGATTTTCATTGATTTAAATTATTAGAAACGTTTTATTAAGAATTATCGAATAACATTTCTATTCTTATAATGCTCCTATAGGAACAGACATCCACCTACTTGCAAAAAAATTTCTCCACAGCTACTTTCTCATCCATTTTAAGGGGTTAGTATACCCTGACGAGATAAAAAACAAGCTAATTTTTAGGAATTTTTTTCTGGCAAAATATAAATAATACATGAAATCCGTTTAAACCATTATCTTTATTATAAATTCAAGTGTCCAAATAAATTTTTTGGTAAAAAAAAATTAAAACTCCCACTGAGGGCTCCATGTAGCGCAAGACCGTTTTTTT